TACCAGCACACATTATCATCATCTTATGGAAAAAGAGAGATGCCTAAATAAACTTTAAAAGACCTTTTTTTAACATGATGGTATTGTCTATCTCAAATAGTCAGGTCTAAGTGGCTATTACCTACTCTTTGGAAAGTCTTTACACGCCTTAATCCACACTGAAATTTAGGAAATGAATAAGCAACTATTAAAGTGATCAATAGAGTATTAGTGAAGGAACAGACAAACAAAAATAATGTGACAGAAGACCTTGTTTGCTTGTGGGTTGTTGTTTTTCCTCACTGTGTATTCTGCATAGGGTAAAAAAGAAAAAGGTAGAGCTTGTTAAATAAAACAAAGAGGGAAAAATACATTAAGTGGGGTTTTGTAAAGATCTTTGAAATTAACTTAGCCATCATCACAACAGTCATAGTCTCCACTGATGTTCTGAAACCAGAAGACATAACCCAGGAAGCATGGACACCTCACATCTTGGTAACAGCTGTTGCCTCTCCTGATGGTGCCCACCATGAAGACCCAACTCAGCCACTTCTGCCTTCAGATAATGAACCAGGACAGGGCACTGAATTCATCATGCATCCCACAGACGCCCCTGGGGATGAGGTCCTCCACAGGATCACAGCTAGTACGAACAAAGCTGATGATGACTCTCCTTTGATGGGTACCAGTAAGAATAATGGATCATACTCATTTCTCATGCCTGTGCAAAATAAGGCATTACGTCTTCTGAAATTGACTCCTTTCTCTATCTTTCTCATCCTGGGGGTCTGCATTCTCAGTGTGGACTTGCAGTGCAAAAATCTGTGGTGGGATTTGTGCTGTTGATAGAATTACCTTCACAAGGCATAAGGAACTCCTTGCTGCTACACTTGGTGGTTCCTGTCCTTTGCTGGAGCATGTTTCTGGGTGTCCTCCTGACTATTCTGCAAGCCACACCCTTTGGCGATTCTGAATCCCCAATCCCATTTTCCTTTCTTGCCTATCAGTGGGATCAGACTCGATATGCTTTGGCACCATGATTGGTGTGGTGGAGGTGCTCTGGTATGTTAATCAGGTGGTTTGCTCCTGTGACTCAGCAGCAGCACTGTCACTGGGGAGTGCTGTCCTGGTAGTGACAACAGGGCAATCACAGAATTATGTTCCATAAATTCTGCCTTCAGTTCCTTAGTCCTCCTCACCGGTGGACTGCCAGGCAAGACCGCCACAGATCTGGCTGCAGTGCAGCCTCTCACTCCTGAATTACAGGGTTAGTTTGCTGCTGCTGTGGTCTCTTCTGAAGGTCTTCCTTCTCCATCTGTCACTGGGATCTGTATATGTAGCCAATATCTCCCTCCAACATGGTGTGCATGTATGTCGTGCTGAAGGGTCTCTCAGAAGCCAGTGGCAGTGTGGAAGAAGGGAAGGCCTTCATGTCTTTTCTCCTTCTGTGCTTTTAATGAAGAAGATGGATGTGGCTTTCTGGCTTCCTGTTATACAGGAAAAAGGGAAATAATGTGGGTGGTGGTTTTGTGAGTGCTCACCCTTAAAGCTGATCATGCCATCGTCATGGTAGTCGCAGAGTCCGTGGATGATGTTAACCAAGAGAAAGCAACCAAGGAGCCACTGGCACCTGGCACTCCATCTGGAAGTCAGAGTGAACAAGGAAACACCACAGATGGTTCCCATATCAATTGGATACCTGCAGTTTTTCCAGACATTGAAGATCATCTTGCCCAATTGCAGACTCCTCTTCCTACTAGTAAGAACTACAAATGACGAGCATTTTCAATTATCCATTGTCAGTTATTATTTTGGATAACGACGATCATCCAAAAACGTGTGTACTAAACGTAATTGTAAATTATTGTCATATTATTATTTCCTTTTTGGTTTTTATTATTGTTTACAACCTGCTTATAAAATGTTGTTAAAGGGAATCTCTTCCTGTGCAAAGCAGAGGACATTTGCTAAAAGACTGAAAATAGTGTTTTGCAAATAACCTTTTCTTATATTCTGTTATCTGTATATGGTAACACTGTTATCAAAATGAACAAGTGTAAACTTTCTCCTCACACTTATACATACGTTGATAGTATTTTTTCTGTCTTTTTTGCTGGGCACAAATGATAGCTATGTAACACTTAACTGTCTGTCACTTTTTCCCCAATCCCAATTCTATCTACATTAGTTGAATATGTTTCAAAAGAAAGGTAATTCTCTGTGAAGTGTTTTTTTTATATGTGTATTTGCTGTTTGTATCTTGCCAGTGATTAATTATAGCTATGTTACTGGGCTGTAACTGACATTTCATGTGTTAACAACTTTTTTTTTTTAAGGGTTATTCTTCTGATAGAGTTAGTGCAGTTAACACTAACAGTGTTTACTTATTACACTACATATAACCTTTTTTTTCCCGTACACATGCTAATAATGAGGGGACTTTTCCTTATTCCCAAATGCAGTTTCCATACAAATAATTATCCTCACAGTAAGGTTTTTTTTCATGCACACTAATCCAAATACTATTTTCATGCACTTTCTTGGAAGTTAGTGGAACCATCCCAGGGTAGATTTTGGCCAGTGCTCTGTGGACATTCATTGCACATAAACAAGATATTTTTATATTTTTATATAGCAAGCAATTTAAAGATAATCCTGTTATTAATTAATTAATGCTAATTCCTACATTGTTAGGTAGAATTTTGCCTGCTTTTTTTCCCCTGAATTTTATATACACCCAATAAAATCAACCCTATCAAAATTGCCTGACTTATAGTATTTTGACACAGACACAGCAATATAAGTGCAAAATATATATTTGATAGAATTTTATTGGAAACAAAAAATCTATTTTTAATAATGGTTTCCTACTACAACAAACTCATTTCTTGACTATCGCTGCTCTTTTCACTTAATTCATCTAAGCCGCCTCCTTAATTTTATGTGGAGACATTACACCCTGTGAAAAAATGTTTGCTACCTTTCTGTTTTGAGCACATAAAACCTGTAGGAACTAGTTTGAAGATAATTTTCAAGGTGAATGTCTGCATTGACTCTTTGCATTTTCAGTGCCCTGGTAAAGGCTCATAAGGCCATAGTCCCAAAACTCTTCCTTTTTTTCAGTTATCTTCGCTTAGTGCTTTTTAAAAACATGATTCAAGGGAATTACAAAGACATTACCATCATCATAAAAAGTTTATTTATTGAAAGGTTCATTCATTTGTAACATTGCCCCAATATTGTTGTAATAGAATGGAAAAGATTAACAAATATATTGGCAGACTATAGATAAAGGCTTTCTCTGAACAAATGAATGATGTACTATACTACTTTCAATTGCTTTTTCTCGACAGCAATGTTTAAGCTGTGGTCTGACATCACACTAATGACTGATCTGTCGTTGTCACATTCCAAGTGTCCATGCAATAACAGATCAGTCCACTGAAGGAACCCAAAAAATAACTGTCAGAAAAAAACCTAGTACATCATCAAAATTAAATGTAGAGAGCTTTTAAAGATCCTTCCTTGCCACTTGCAAGCACCTTCCCAGAGCCATAACAGCAGGGGCTCTGACTTAATTCTGCTGCTGCTTCTCAATGCTCAGGGGAGGGAAAAGGCTAATGTCCTCTAAGCACACAACTTTTAATAAATGTCTACATGCTTTTCTAAGGAGCTTGTGGTGGAAATGCTCAGGCATTTCTCAAGGATGATATAAAGCATCTTAAAAAAAAATTCTGCTGAGGTGTGGGGTAGGCAAGTGAGTATGTTCCTCTTGGTCAGCCTTCTTGGAGGCTAGATGAGGACCCTTGGTTGCTGAATTAGTGCTCTGTCCTTTGTGGTGAGATAGCACAAAACAACTCACCAGTCAGTAAGTTTCTTGTTAATAAAAGTAATGAAAACATCTAGAAGATTCATGAACTACTTACTGGCTAAGTGTAACGGAGGGAAAAAACATGCTTCTCAGTTTTGTATTTGCCAGCTGCTATTAGGCAATGAGATCAGAAATGCTGCCTAGAAGCGAGTTGTAACATGTGTTAAAGAAAAAGAACTTCAGAGCTGATTACAGTGCTTAATTTGCTCTACTAGAGTCTGGAAAAATTCAGAGAGGTAAAGATCTGTAATATCTTATTTGTAGTGATAATGAAGTGGTAGTCCCAAATTAAATTGCTGTATCTATAGTCTGCTGATAATTTTAGACTTGGGATATCCGTATGGCAACAGCGTGGACCAGGAATGTAATTGGATAAAAGTTCAAGTGGTATGGCCAGCGTAGCAAATACTTGAGACTGGAAGTATGCATTTTGATTTAAGATCAAATATCATCTTAGAACCAAGTTGCACAACTTATTAAAAAGGACAAGGAGGTCCACCTCTAAGTTCGAAAGCATTTTTTCTATTAGGAAAAATAGTTTGATTTTTTTAAAGTCACACTCTGTACATAGCTATCAAATCTAAAACCGTTCAGAGAACTATCCTTCTATTTTATGAAAGCATTAGAATTTTAGAAATTCAGTTTTATCCTGTGTAGGAATAAAAATAAAAGTTTCAAAATGTCTCCATATTGATCATTTTATGTTTAAATAACAAAGTAAAGTGCTTTCTCTCTCTCCCCCCAACCTCCCTTTTCCCCATGGAACAGACAAGATGTTTGACTTGTATGACAAAAACCTCTTCAAAAAATTGCCAACATTCACATGTATTTACATTTTCTCCAGAAAAATTCTAGGCAATTATAATTGCATTTTCATTTACGGAAGTATAGCGTATTCAAAATTGAAACATGAGAGACACAAGAGGGGAAAACCATGAGTTTTGTTATTCAAAATACTAAAACTAGCCATAGTTCAGATAAGTATGATGATTATAGTCTATGTCATTATTTCCAGTATAAATACTTGTTAATGACCTCAGCATGAACTTGCTAGAATATGTTTTTTTAATTGTGAAAGTCATAGTCTTTGTACCTCACTGTTAAATATTCACTAAGCATATTTGGCCTAATGGATAGTTTTGTTCTTTAGGATCTACCTCCAGTATATATGGTAATCAAGGACCACACAAGGGAGATTATGAGTCCACTACTTTCCCTGGAGAGACCACAACAACAAAAATAGTTTCACAACCAACACTGGCCCAGGTACCAGGTAGGTTTTTGAAGTCACATGTTTTAACAATTTAAGGTCAAGTACAGTCATTCCAGGATTTTTTCTGAATCAGATAATATTCAGCATTTTCACTAGTAGTCTGAAAAATTGAGTATATTGTAACTCATATAATTCAATAACAATTCAACTCAGTAATACCAAGGTGAGATACATCATGCATTTGGAGAATGGGATTAAGATCCAAATAACCTTTATAAATTGATATGAGATCAGGCAAAATTGAGTAGAGATACATGCAAAGTATATCCATAAGAATGTTTGGTGAAAATAATAGCTGTGACGAGTGTTGCAGAATAGGGCTTGAAGATTAAAATGGAATAGAAAGAAGCCAACACCATGATACAACTGCAAAAGAATGCAAATATATTCTGGGACATATTAACAATATAGTAATTTTTAAAACAGAGAAAGTATTTATCCCACTCTACTTAGGCGTAGCAAGTCCAGAGCTTAAGCTCTTTATTCAGTTCAAGGTATTATGTTAATCACATATGAAAAAAAGGGAGAAGAGCACAAAGACTGCTTTTGAAAGGTAACCTTTGAAGCACCTTTTGAAGATCTCATAATTTTCAGAGAAAACTGAAGGGTTGTATGAGAAGAGTATGCTACGAAAAGAATGCTTATCAGTTTTTCACCATGGAATAATTAATTAACTAATTAGAAGTAGTAATTTGTTTCAAATGAAATGCAGGAGGCCTGTTAAACAAGAGAGACTTGTTTCAAACAAACAAAAGAAAGCAGTTAGCTTTTCAGAGAGGATCTCTGTCTATAATCGTAGCACAGCTTAAAGAACAGGCTACTTGGAAGGTTGTGAAATCTCTTTTACTAAAAATGTTAAGAGCAAATTCCTCAGCCATCTTCTTATTGACTCTGTTCCACTGGAGTGAAATGTAGCTAATATGATCTCTTAGGGTTTTATAGTTCCTTTTTTTAAAAAGTTTGCCCCAAAGTATTTTTAGTATTATTGAATTATTTAGTATTAGTTAAATTATTTTTAGTATTTTTGCCCTTAAAGTAAAATTTTAAATGAACAAATGAACATTTCACTCCACCTGAAAGTCATCCTGCTTTTTCTATCTGGGATTGCAGGTGTATCATTGCTAAACCTTTTCTTTTGCTCTTGGCATAAATCAGTGATACTACTCTTCACCTATGCTCGCCTAAGTATAGTGCTTATAGGTGCTAACAGTGTTGGGGTATTTCATCTCAGTTGGCCTGTGTATAGCTGAATGATGAAAATTTATTCGATTTGCACAGAAGCACTTTGTAAAACAAAACAACATTGATGCAAGCTAGGAAAAAAGTCTGACAGTTTAAAGAATGTAAAAGTTTGTGTTCTTGCAGTTCTGCAAAATGGCAAAACTACACGAGATATATTAACATGCTCTCCTCCCCTCCCTCAACTCTCCCCACAGAATGGCTGATCATAGTTGCTGCTCTTGTGGCACTTGCATTGATTCTTGCAGTGTGCATTGCTGTTAACAGTCGGAGAAGGTAAGGTAGCTCTTTTACTTTTTAAAAACACACTGCCATGCTATTTTCTTCATTGAGAGGCTTCAAAGCTTCATTAAAAGAAAAGTAGCTTAAGACAAGAAAGAGCTTCCTCTGCGAAGCTCTGTGACTTGGGATGTGAAGGCCCACCATGTCCTGTACAGGTCACACATCAGCCTTCACATTCACGTGGAACCACTTGAAGTCTGTATAAACCATTTGGACTTTACTTGTAGATGGAACCTAACTGTATATAGATCACAGAGACTTAATTATTCTCTACCTATTACTTATTAATAGAAAACTCCTGTTCACTGAGAGTGAAAACTATGTGAGATGGACATAGACAGTAGCAACCACAGAATGAGCTGAGTATAATCTTCCACCATTAACAGTGTTGTCTATGTACAGTATGAAGGGCTGTCACAGGATTAATTTGATCCTTCCAAACAAAAAGCAGTATCCCACCTGGCAGTCACAGGGACATAGTCTAACATTGCTAACAGAGTACTCAGTAGCTTTATTTATGCTACTTTACAGATGAAGAAGCTGAGGAATAGAAAGTTGCAGTGATCTGTGCAGTTAGCCAGGAAATTTGAAAAAACTCTAACCTAAAGGATAGGTTATAATATTCTTACCTCTTTCTTTTCTCTGGGGGCTGTTTTGAGGTTCCTTCTCAATTGTCTTACATGAATGATAAAGTTGACCCCTTTAACAGTGTAACTATTTCTGCTTAAATGTCAAATCTGAACTTTTTTTATCAGAGTAACCATATAATATGTGGAGATTTTTGTTCAGGAAGCAGTGAGCAAATTTATTCCTAGTGTGCTGGTTGCAGGAAGGCATATGTTAATACTTCTGTGAAATAGTGTCAAGATTCTCCAATGCATGGTGTGGGTGCTAGAATAAAGAAATGCTACCATAGTGAGGAGGGAACACAGGCAGTGCCCACCCATAATGCAGAAGGCTTCTATGAGACAAGGCAGTGCAAACTAAATGCCAGATTGCCAGACAGAGTAAACTGATATAGTTTTGCTGAAGTCAGTAGTAAGATGCCACCTGGTATGTTTGTCCTATGACTGTAGCTGGAATATCAATGCTTATTTGACAGCTTTATTAGAGACCTGTGGAAATAAGAAAGTTATCAAGCATCTGGTGAGCAGAAAACTCTACAACTTTCTTTCTGTGAAGTGATTCTGAAGTTATACACCCTGCACAGCATGGCTTATTGATATATGTTACCCTGTTGTGCCTTTAAAAGTAGAGGCTGCCATTGTTTCCTCCCTCTTAACCCAGAGTCACCATAGGAACAGACAAACAGGACCACTATGGCTAATTATAGATTGCATCTGACAAGAAATGACACAATCTCAGAGCTGTAAATTATGCCCTAGATACTGTTAATGGAAAACATATCTTTTACTTTGAGCTTCCATGCAGCTGGGAGCAAGTCACAAAGACAGAATGTGCATGTGGGTGCATGTATGTGTACGAATGCATGGATTGACCCTAGTAATATGTGTTAATCATGGTGAGGAAAACTTTTTGAAGCAGGGATGTACTCTGGTATGCTTGAAATGAGTGGAATATTTCTTTCACTTTAGCAGGATCCAAATGATAACATGAATAAGTCAAGAATCCTTTCCTCATCTATTCTGATGCGCTAATATGCTGAAAATTCATAGAGAGGTAGTTGATATGCAGTCAGCATACTGCATGTGAATGCCAAATAATCCTAAATTAACACTGCAGCAGTACTATGAGAAAACTGGATAGCTGAGAAAGGAGGACTGAGCATTTCATTGTTAGCTGAGCAGTAATTTGAGATTGTTTCAAGCATTAATTTATTTAAAAAGTGAGAATGACCTGTGCTTTTATTTGTGTAATGCTGTCAGTTACACCATTTTTTAAATTAATGCTAACTGCAGCATCCCCAGTTTCAGTCTTGTTTGGGTTGTCTGAAAAAGCCTAATGAAGTGTAGGCCTTAGTTTCAAGATAGTTAACTTCCTGATTCAGAAATTAATAGGTTTAGCCTTTCTAATTAGGAGGTCAGTATGGCAGAGATTTCATAGAATCATAGAATCTTTGGGTTGGAAGGGGCCTTTTTAAGGTCAAGCAATTGGGCCTTCTCAGTAAATAGCAAATTGCTTGACTATAGTATTGCTAGTATTTCTTTTTTTTCTTTATTTTTAAATTAGTGTTGTCATAAGTTTTCTTAACCAAAACCCAAAATGGTCAAGGTTCAGTGTGGTCCTATTTAGTTAGTTAGTTACTCAGTTATGTCGTTGTTATTCTTGTTGCAAAGACGACTGCCTCTGTCTGGTGCCTGTTGTAAAAAGTGCTAGGATCTCCTTCCAGAGTCCAACAGACCCTGCCCAGCCTGACCATCACATCAGGAAAGGCACTCTGAGCTGGTCTTTCAAGAGGCTGTGGAGCTCCACAGCTCCTTGCTGGCCTCTTTCATCATTTCACAGCTGCAGAGCAGGAATCATTCCCAAGGGTGTGTGTAACATTAGCGCACTGCACTGAGCTACTTGAGTGTGCTGGTTTTGGCTGGGATAGAGTTAATTTTCTTCATAGTAGCTAGCATGGGGTTATGTTTCGCATTTGTGCAGAAAACAGTGTTGATAATACAGGGATGTTTTGGTTACTGCTAAGCACAGTTGCTTACACTGAGTCAAGGCCTTTTCTGCTTCTCACCTCACTCCACCAGCCAGTAGGGTGGGGGTGAACGAGAATTTGGGAGGGGACACAGCTGGGACAGCTGACTCCAAATGACCAAAGGGATGTTCCATACCATATGACGCCATGCTCAGCATATAAAGCTGGGGGAAGAAGAAGGGAGAGGAGGACGTTTGGAGTTATGTGTTTGTCTTCCCAAGTAACCGTTCTGTGTGATGGAGTCCTGCTTTGATGGACATGGCTGAACACCTGCCTGCCGATGGGAAGTAGTGAATGGATTCCTTGTTTTGCTTTGTTTGTGTGTGTGACTTTTGCCTTACTTATTAAACTATCTTTATCTGAACCCATGAGTTTTCTTACTTTTACTCTTCTGATTCTCTCCCCATCCTATGTGGGGGGAGAGAGCAAGAGGCTGTGTGGTGCTTAGCTGCCGGCTGAGGTTAAACCACAACATTCGGATAAAATAACCCTCATCTATTGGTCAGTAAGCATGAAAAAACAATATTTCGAAAGGATAATAGTGCAACTGAACTGCCAAATTAATCCTTAAGGCAAAATATGCTTCATTTAAGAAGAAAGCACTTTAAAGTACAACTTCACAGAGATATTGTCCCTCTTAAGAGAGCTGTGCTTTGTATACTCAGTTTACACAAGGATGTTAGAGGACAAGTAGGATGTTCAGCACCAGGTAGCTAGAAAACTAACCTAACAGTCTGGGGCAAATCTGACAGCTGTGTAACTAGTGCTTTTTTACGACCATGAAGAAGACCTAGACCATGTTGACCAGCATGCATCAGTTTTGGACTGGTGACTTTTTAAAAGAGTATGTGTGTGTGTTCATTCAGAGCTACATGTAGCATTTATTGGGCAACATTGCAGTGAGTGTAACTTTAAAAGCACAGTAGCTATTTTCTAACTTAATATCATAAGGAGCAATGCTGTTGATAGTAGCAAGAGTAGTTCCCCGTATTTCTTTGCTGTTGGTGGGCTTCTAGGCCTGACACGCTAATACAAAAAGGGAAAAAGTTATCTTGTATAAAGAGGTGAGAGCTTGATTGAAATTTTCTCCTATCACAAGAAATTGAGCATTTTCAAAGGTGTGGTGCCAAGTCTTGATTTAGAATGACCCTGTCCTTACAGTGGGATATATACAAAGTTCATAATTGTGGATATATCCAAATGATAGAAAGTCTTTCAGTTATGAAACAGAAAAGCTTTCAGTTAGGAATGTTCTTCCTATCTGTAGTAACGATAGATGCAAATCGAGTAAGTGAGCTCCTGCCAATTTTTTTCCATATAAAGTTTCATTTCCAAGCACCTTTTCCCCAATACTGACTTTCAATTTTTTTCTTATTTCTGTTAGTCTTCATTTATAGTACTTATTTTGTTTTTATTTCTTTCTAGATGTGGGCAGAAGAAAAAGCTAGTGATTAACAATGGCAAAGGGGCAATGGAGGACAGAAAGACAAGTGGATTAAATGGAGATGCCAGCAAATCACAAGAAATGGTGCACTTGGTTCATAAAGAACAGGCAAATGACCGAACAGGAGCATGTGATGAATTACTCACCATTAATGAAACACAAAATCATCACGAGCTTGACATCAAGACTGGAGTGTAATGGTACCAAGTTGCCAAGTACATCAGAGCTGGGGAACTCAAAATCACATGGAATTTGGACAGGAATTCACAGATGCACTGTGCTACTGATGTCTTTTGAACATAATTAAACATAAGTTTTATTCATTTTTAATCACTTTAAAATGATGTCTGAGTTACAAAATTGACATTTGCTATCTGAAATAAGCCCCTGAGAGTTGCATAATGTTTTCAGTTCCCAGTTCCTACACAGAGGACACGCAATCTGTCCCATGAGGGTTACAAGTTTACGCCATTGTTCCTCAAATGGAGGGTCTTCGCTGTGCGAAGCTACAGAAGTATCCTGCCATTCCATCTTACAGGCATTTAAGGTACAAAACTTGCCATGGTACAAGAGTAAGTGAGGAACAAATGTCAAGAGCAAAAATCAAACTTAAACCAAAAAGGCTTCCTATACAATGCCTAAAACATCAGAATCCTTCAGAAATGCCTTCCAGCCAGGAAGAGCAGTAGGTGCGTTCAGAGTCTGCCAGTATAAACAAAAAGTAACATTTTATAATGATTTATGTCTTGGTTTACAATGAGGCGAACCCAGAATGACAAAATTTATTTATCTCTATTTTTAAATGTCTATGGGCATATAGCAAGTCGTCTTGGGAGGGGGAATAAAGAGATGAAAACATGAGCTGATACATAATAAACTTCTATATGTTATTGTCCTAATAATCTGTACAGTTATCCTTGAGTTTTTGAGGTGTTCGTTGCACTTCCCCTTCCCTCCTTCATTGGTCACAGTTTGTGCATGTTTTTAATGAGTCTGAGAATGACTAAAACAGAATGACCCCAGCTCTATCACATGTGCATAAATCAAGCAATTTGAGATATTAGGGAAGATGACAGTATTTTATTCCTGAAGAATAGGTCTCTATCTCCTTCCACTCCATTTTACTTAGGAGTTGCTAAGCCTAGTAAAACCTTTCCCCTGTAACTATTATGTTACATCAGTTTGCTGATATTTTAAAAGTTGCCTTTCTGTGATCTCACTTCCTCTGAATTCTATTTCATCCGTGTTTTTCCCTCTGCTTTTTAAAAATACCAAAAGAAACATTGCTTGCTTATTGGTACCAGAAGTTCAAATTCTACAGAAAAGATCAAAGAAAATTAAAGGAAACTCTTCCAGCCGTATAATACAGTAAAGTAGCAGCAGCTGCATTGTTATATGCTTTTGTTTTGTCCTTATGTGTCTGTTATGTAAAGTATTTGTATTAAGCTATGATGCTGTGCATTATATTGATATAAATTGTCAGAAAGAAAATTATTTACTACCAGTGGTCTGTGCCATTTTTAACAAAGCTTATTGGAATTGAGGGAGAATGATGTCTTTGAATTGGACTGCCTCAAAAAAATGCAAGTAAAAATAATCTAAGGTAATTGCCACCAGTGGTCTGTGTCAGTCATGGAGAATGTCCTGTAGCAGGGTTATTCAAGTGTTCCTGTTCACCGACTGTAGCATTTGTCTTTGAAACTGTTCTGCTAAAGCGTGTTATTTTATGTTCTTCATCCAAAGCAATTTGGAGGATGAGTATTCAGCTGGCTATATACTAACATTAGCTAGCACTGATCTTTACTGGAACATAAAGCACAAGACTGGTTATAGTTCTCGATCACGGCCCTCTGGCAGTTTCCCGTGTGTTTTCACGGAGTTGCTCAGTGCCCTTGTATCTGCAGACAGATCTCCTCAGGGGCAGCTTACACCTGGGCAAAAGGTCCAAAGATGAGGTGTGATTTTAAAGTATACATAGGATGTTTTCTGACTTTATGTAGGTCAGCATGTTTCATCTATGAACAGTCACACAGCTCGTGCTCCAAAGATGTTCAAACGAGCTGAAGCTGATGGTCAAGGTGATTTACGCTATCAGTACTTGTGGTCTACTGTCAAAATTCTCAGTCCTTTTATGTATTTTAATACTGAACTGTGTAGTGGGAAGTCTCTTAAATCTGTTCATTGATTTTTGTTTAATTTCTTTAATGTTTTTAAGCAAGCTTTTCTGTTTGTCATTATAAATCAAAATGATCTGTTGAAGGCTGTGTTTTAACTGGTGTACTGTTACGTACTCGTTTCACTAAGTAGGGAGATCAAGAGTAAGACTTATTCCTCTCTTTAAATCATAATTGACTATAGGTCTCAATCGGAAGGAGATACTTTATTGTCTTGAAGTCTAAATGTTTCTTTAAAAAAAAGAAAAAAAGGCTGTGTCATGTTATCCATCTCCCTATTTAGATCTTTAATAGAAAAATCCACAAACTCCTTCCTAATTTATGTAATGTTCAGTAGCTATAAGTGCACGGGCGGCACTGGTTGCCTTCTCTTTATATTTCTAAATAGGGAGATGCTCAAGTTCTCTTTACAGAGGAATGCCATTATTTTATATATGCTGATTATTTTTAGATTATGACATGTGATTCATGTGTAATTAAGTTTCATTATAGTTTCAAAACTAGATGGCCATTTCATATGTGTAATATAGTACACATTTTTATTAGTCTTGGTCTTATTATTTGAGGGGTTGTTTGTTGTGTGTATGTATTTTTACTATAGAGCACTTGATATATTTGCATATTTATTTAATAGATTAATCAGAATGAAAGAAAATATCATGTCTAAATTGTAACTAGAAATAATAATGCTAAAAACACACTGAACTATAAAATAAGCTTCCAAAAATAAACTTGATTCCACATTGAGGATAAAAAGTAAGATCAGCAT